CTCCGTCTTTCTTGGCAGCCAAATAACTGGGATTTGAGGATAAGATTTTTTTTTTAATCTCTCAGCTGCTGTTTCGGATCCATTTTGAGATTGTCGCTAATTTAAATTTATGCCATGTAAGATCTATTAAAAAGAACAAATATTATTTCTTAACATTTTTTTTATCGGTTATCAAGATTTTAAAAGATCTTGTATAAACTACAATACTACTATATTTAATTAGGAACAATTTGTTTTTTATTTGAGATTATGCATTTACTATCCTTATTTTAATTCTTATGTACCGGAACTAATAATATGAAACTTATGATATTAATGTACGACAACTATAGTTTTGATGCCATTGATTATTGGATGCTACATTTTTTACAAGTCAAACCTCACTTTATATTATCCTTTGCTATAAAATTGGCATAAAATGCTCAACTATGCTGGGTTATTAAGGTCTTAATCATATTTTATCCTACTTAACATGGAAGTTTATACATGAAGATAATGTATACTATCCTTTTGTCTTTCTGATTAATTAACACAATTCCCTTTTCTCTTCCCTAATTAATAGTATATTTTTCTCATTTTGAATTTCATTCCTACGCTAGTATTGCTTATGTCAGAAACCTATACCAACCAAAGAGTTGACGGGTAACTCAGTTGTAAAAATTACTACTAATTCGTTTCACCAGTTAATTATGTCTCTGTGATTGAACGCAAAGTAGTATACTTCTTATAGTAATAAATACTTCTTAGGTCAAACATAGTTACGTTACTTACGAACTCAATAACTTTAGTTTAAATTCTTCATTTATTTAAAAAATTCAATACAAACTACTTTAATTTAGAACTTAATAACTTAAAAAATTAAAATTTTGAATGCATAAAACTCAAATTTTACCTCGGTCTCTGGTTACTCGGAGAATTTTATTTCCTACCTATAGTGTTAGCCAACACTTCAGTTATCTCTACGGATGGCATCTGGAGACAATCTGTACGTTTGTGTTTTAAATAATGGGAAAAGGTCCTGATTTACCCCTAAACTTTATGATTTGGAGCTGATATACCCTCCGTTTAAAAAATGGCTCATATATGCCCCTGCCGTTATAGAAATGGCTCATATATGCCCTTTTACTTAACAGAAATTTTTTTAATAAATTAAAAATTCATTTTTTTTTACTTTAATTTAAGAAAATGTCATGTGGCTTTTAAAATACCCCACTTTCCACTATACCCACCCGACCCAATTGGAAACAATAGAAACCCACCCGCTCAAATTAACTTCACCCATTTCATTTCATGGTTTCCACCTCAACAGAAACAAAAATAATTTTTTTGTTAGTATCCGGTCTCATTTTGAGTGAAGATTGCTAATTTTAGGACATGAATACAGTTAAATAAATATTTCCCTTAATTGCCTCTTCTTTCGGCTATACAAGGACGAGAATGATTTCTTGATGGCTTTGTTCTGGGCATACATTTATCTCCTTTTCCAATTCGAGGGTTTCTTTTTTACCAGATTGTGTTTCCTCTCTTTATCCGGGGGTGCCCTCTGCTTGGTACATTTCTCAAGCAATTTGTTCTTTCTTATCCATTGATCTTTTTCACACTAAATGAACATGTTTGTTTAGAGATAGATTATCACTCACTTTATGCTTAAGTTGTGGATTTACGGTATATAAGCTTACCTAGTTTCTATTTAAGATGGATCAATTTATAGACCCTAACAAAGTAAACGTTAAATGTGCAATATATAGGATGCATAACGCATCTCTTGTAATAATATTTGATGCTTGCAAACTTTGGTATGTTAAATGCTTGATAAATAACTGGGTTTATTATTTTGTGGGCACTTTAGGAACTGAGGCAGATCCAAGGAAGAAGGGCACTACTGCGGCCGCTTAAGTTTCTAAAGAGGCAGTTTGACGTTTTATTTTTATTTTGCCTTCCATTTCACCGATAAATCGAAGTTTTGAATATTCGTTTCTCAAATATCACCCGAACTCAGGATTGTAGAGCTCACTGGAACCCTCACAATTTTTTTTGGTTTCATTTGAGTGTGGAAATAACGAAATGAAATGAGTTAGGTTAATTTGGGTGGGTGAGATTTTTTGTTTCCAATTGGGTCGGGTGGTATGGTGGAGTGGAAGGTGGGTATTTTAAAAGCCACATGACATTTTCTTAAATTAAAGTAAAAAAAATGAATTTTTAATTTATTAAAAAAAATTCTGTTAAGTAAAAGGGCATATATGAGCCATTTCTATAACGGCAGGGGCATATATGAGCCATTTTTTAAACAGAGGGTATATCAGCTCCAAATCATAAAGTTTAGGGGTAAATCAGGACCTTTTCCCTATAAACAATACTATAAATGATAGGAATAAAGTCAAAGAAGTTTGTTAACACCAAACACTAATCAAGAACTAATTGTCTAATTGTGGTATTACTTTTATAGATACAACGAAAAGTATGTTTGCTCTTATCATTCCACTAATCTCTAATGACATAACTAAAATATTCTATAAACATACTATAATTGGTAGAAACAAAGTCAAAAAGATTGGTTAACACCAAACTCTAGTCAAGAACTAATTGTGATATTAGATTATCACTCACTTTATGCTTAAGTTGTGGATTTACGGTATATAAGCTTACCTGTTTCTATTTAAGATGGATCAATTTATAGACCCTAACAAAGTAAATGTTAAATGTGCAATATATAGGATGCATAACGCATCTCTTGTAATAATATTTGATGCTTGCAAACTTTGGTATGTTAAATGCTTGATAAATAACTGGGTTTATTATTTTGTGGGCACTTTAGGAACTGAGGCAGATCCAAGGAAGAAGGGCACTACTGCGGCCGCTTAAGTTTCTAAAGAGGCAGTTTGACGTTTTATTTTTATTTTGCCTTCCATTTCACCGATAAATCGAAGTTTTGAATATTCGTTTCTCAAATATCACCCGAACTCAGGATTGTAGAGCTCACTGGAACCCTCACAATTTTTTTTGGTTTCATTTGAGTGTGGAAATAACGAAATGAAATGAGTTAGGTTAATTTGGGTGGGTGAGATTTTTTGTTTCCAATTGGGTCGGGTGGTATGGTGGAGTTGAAGGTGGGTATTTTAAAAGCCACATGACATTTTCTTAAATTAAAGTAAAAAAATGAATTTTTAATTTATTAAAAAAAATTCTGTTAAGTAAAAGGGCATATATGAGCCATTTCTATAACGGCAGGGGCATATATGAGCCATTTTTTAAATGGAGGGTATATCAGCTCCAAATCATAAAGTTTAGGGGTAAATCAGGACCTTTTCCCTTAAATAATTAAAAGTTATTAAACCAACAACTAATAATTAATCATATCAACATAATTGCGTTATCTAGGAACTATAATATATATAATGTAAAGTTATAAATAATATACTTCGCACAGCAATGTGGACCGCCTAGTTATTTAATTAATTAACTCAATCTTGTTCAACCTTCCAACTTTATCCACGTCTTTAGTTTACTCAAGTATTTTAATCATTATATAATTGTTTGTTCGATATTAGTTAGAATTATCATTTCATTTTAATTAAGAGAAAAAAACTGCATTTTGACAGCTTACAATGTTTCAAAGAAATTGTATTTCAGAGCTTACCTCACATGGTTAGTTGAATAACAAATTAAATATTTTACTCTCTGAACACAAAATATTTGACAACCTACATGATTCGATCATGTTATTAATTTAAAAATGAGATTTCCATTATTGTAAATGAGAATGTTAAGTAAAACACAATAAAACATACTTAATCTTCCAAAAGGAATCAGCTGTTCATACATGCACGATGCATATCATATTTTGTCGTTAAATTTATTTAAGGAAATAAATTATTTTACTAATGATTGCACCAATTATTTTTAGTATTCTCACATAATTATGAACTCAACCAAACCGTTCAATTATATGACATTATTCTTTGAAATCAAATATATACCATGACAAAAATGGGGTAAATAAGTTCTTTAGTACGTTAAAAAAAGGTTCTTTATTACGTAACTTTTTGGAAAATGAACTAAAAACGCATAGGTTGTAATAAGTTGTAACCATAATCAGGATTAATCTTATTTTTTCAGTCATTATGCTTTTTTAACATATACATTTGAACATCCATTTTAGCTAATAACAAAAGTTTCAAGTTTCTAATGACGTAAAAAAAATGAAATTTCATACCTCTACGAATGCATGATATGAGTATCTCTCCTTTTTCTATTTACAGGAGATTCTTCCTTTTTGTTGGTTTGATTGAGAAATCCACAACTTTTTATATATATATATATTTGAATTTTTTTTATTTAACATTTTTGCTTTATTTTTGAAGATATGTTCTAATACGAATTGATACGACATGTCGAAAACCACTAAATTCTAAAGTTATTTTTGATATGTAGTTTCATGTATATGCCCTTATTCAGTTTATGCGTTAAATATATATGTACTAAAAAATATCGTACATTTAAATACCATAAATAAAATATAGGGAATAATAATTTTTGGATACTTAATACTCCCATCTTTTCAATTGGTTTGTCAAAATAAGTTTTGATTTGATACGAAGTTTAAGAAAGTAATTTTTTTTTGAATTTGATGATCTTAGACTACATTGTATATGAAAAATATACCAAGATGACTTTTAATCTTGTATCTTAAACATGTAGGTGAAAAGTTAAAATAAAAAAAAACAAAAAAAAAAAACAAAATTACGTCAATTTTTTAAAAGTTATTGACTTTCCTTATTAGTACATGCAATTGTACTATTTCGTTTGAGTATCAACAAAATTTCCAGCTAAAAGATTCGAATTTAGAACTTGGTTGTTAAAAAAATAATAATTGCAAATTAATGCATGGCCAAAAAAATATCTCGACGAAATCAAGGGTAATATAGACATTTCGTTATTTGAGGAAAATAATTAATACAGGTATACAAAGGAAGTTGCACACCACATGTTTATTAAATTAATGTACGCACCGTGTATGTTAGTAATGTCACTGTACAAAAATAAAACCAAACTCTGTTTGTCTCCTTTTCTCTTTCCTTTTAAAGGATCATAAACCAACGTAATCTTTTAATGGATTCTCTTCTTTTCTCTCGATTTCTCAGCTTACCCACTTCGAATTTCGTCATTTTCCGGCAATCTTTTTTTTGATTTTCCGACCTGTCAATAACTCTCCGGCCAATTCTCCGACCATATTCAACCGCAAAGTTAAACCAAAGGTGGTTCACATGGTCTTTTCCTTTTTGCCCTGTTTCAGTAACATAAGGGTGTTATTTGGTTAAGCAAGTTGTTTTCTTTTTTGGGACTTTTTTTTTACCAAGAAAATGAAGAAAAAGAGATATGGAGTAGTCAAGTTTTAAACTTTTTAGTGAATCTTGATAGGTTTGTTGGTTGAACTTTCATCTTGTGGACGAGGGTTCAATTTTCAATAATCTGTTGCAAAAGTTATTTGGTTTTTTTTCTTGTTTTTATGTTATCAGCTAATTTAACTGTGTTTGGTAATTGAGAAAAATGGTAAAAAAGGGACATGGTTTTTCAAGTGTAAAGAAGTTGTCTTTCTATGTTTATGTTAAAAAAGACATGGTGGGAATTGTCTAGTGTTAATGGATTAATGGGTATCTGTTCATTCTTCTGACATTTTTATGTTGTTGGAATTCCGAGTTGGAGTTTGTATATTCTCTGCTTTTCTTGCATAGTTAAAAGGTTCTTTAATCCTTCTTCAGATTCATCATTTTTGGATATTTCTGAATTTTAAAACCTGTAGATTCTTAACTTTCTGACTCGGATCACATCCCTTTTTACCTCAGCTAAGTATATCTAATTACTTGATTCATGTCATGGGGTGTGTGTGTATTTTTCAGTTTTTTACTAAATATGATATGCATATTTTTGGGGTTGTTGTACCTATAAATCTCAAGATTTTCTTGCCTTTCTTCTGCAGGAGGGTATTTGGGTAGTTAAATTAAAGAAAGGTTGAAATGGGGCATTTTTCTTCAATGTTTAATGGATTAGCAAGGTCTTTTTCCTTGAAGAAAAGAAAGAATAGTTCTGGAAATGGGAAATATGATGGTAGAGATGCTGTTGAAGCTATGGCTAAAGAAGCCAAGAGAAATGACTTGATATTAAGGTCTTCAGGGACTGTAAATGTTGATGGTTCTAAGAATTTTGCTTCATTATTCTCAAGGAGGGGTGAAAAAGGCGTAAATCAAGATTGCTTCATTGTTTGGGAGGTATATATCAATTACTTCCCTATTTGTGATCAATACTAAGTCACTAGTCTCAGTTGTGGTATCTATAGAGTTTCTTTTGGTTTGAGCTATATATGATCAGTGGCAGATCTAGAGGGGCGGAAGGGTATTCACCTGAGCCCCCTCGACAAAAATTTACACAGTATATATAGGGTAGATTTGGATGATTCATAGGGACTGCATTATTTTTAAAAATTTTATTTTTCGAACCCCATGAGTGAAAATCCTAGATCCAGCATTGTATATGATGATGGATTCTTTGTACCATTGCAGGAATTTGGTTGCCAACATGACATGGCATTCTGTGGTATATTTGATGGGCATGGTCCTTGGGGTCATTTTGTGTCAAAGCAGGTTCGGGAATCGATAGTATCATCGTTGCTTTGCATTTGGCAGGAGAGTCTAGCTGAGGCTTCAGCTGATCCAGATTTGGATAAAAAGGATCAAAGGTTTAACATATGGAAAGAGTCCTTCTTAAAGGCATGTGCAACTGTGGATCAGGAGCTGGAACACCATCCCAAAATTGATACATTTTACAGTGGAACCACTGCTTTGACAATAGTCAGACAGGTAATTGCTTCAGCTATCTGGTAATTCTTGTCTTGTCCTCCAATTTTTGCCAACTTAGCTTTGTAAAAAGTACTCCATCCGTTTCAATTTGTTTGTCAGGTTTAGACTTTTGACTTGGCATAGAGTTTATGAAAGTAATTTTTTTTTTGAATCTGTGATCTTAAACTAAAAATATGTAGAATGTATAAAAATGCAACGTAAGATAAACAAATTAAAATGGAGTAGTAAACTAAACCTTGTTGTGTAGAGCCATGTTGTGCTTTTGAGTGTCCCCTTTAGATAAATATTTAACAGATTATAAGTAAAACTCAATGTAAGAAAAGTATGCTGAATTATTGAATGTTTAAAATGGAGGGAGTAAACTAAACCTTGGGTGAGGTAGTAGTTTGAAGCCTAACAGTTTTTAAGTTTATGTTTTATATCTCTACAGAAATATGAACTTCATAGTTCCCTGATCAGCAAAATTTGCTTAATTATCTTAATGTTAAGTGTGTTGCAGGGTGAGGTTTTATTTGTAGCAAATGTTGGCGACTCACGTGCAGTATTAGCTACCACTTGCGATGATGGCAACTTGGTACCAGTTCAGCTCACTGTTGATTTCAAGCCTAATCTACCTCGTGAGTCCTATATATACCTCTATCTTCCTCTCTATGCTCCCCGCTGTACATGACACTCCAATATAATGGATATATGTGTATTTTAGTTTGATGTTTCTTTTTCTTGCAGAGGAAACTGAGAGAATACTGCAATGTAATGGTAGAGTATTTTGCTTAGATGATGAATCTGGGGTGCACCGATTATGGCTGCCCGATGAATCCTCCCCTGGATTGGCAATGTCTAGAGCCTTCGGGGACTATTGCGTGAAAGATTTTGGTCTAATTTCAGTGCCTGACGTGACTCAAAGGCATATCACAAGCAAAGACCAATTTGTTGTGCTGGCAACAGATGGGGTATGTTTGGCCTTCTGGATTGTCCCCAAATATACTACTCTTATCATATTTCTTAATTATGCACACATAAGAACAAAAGTAGGTATATTATCTAAAGTGATAAGCATATGTAAATGATTAAAGATTCATCAGTTCAACAGAAGGCCATGGCCACAATAACAACATTGTATTGCATAGACTTTGTGAAATCTTCGTTTTAAGTGTAATTTCCTTGATGACTACTAAAGTGTAGTTTCTTAAATGCAGGTATGGGATGTTATATCGAATGAAGAGGCTGTAGAAATTGTATCTGAAACTCCAGATAGGGCAAAAGCAGCCAAGCATCTTGTTCAATGTGCTGTTCGTGCTTGGAAACGTAAGAGGAGAGGGATAGCTGTAGATGATATTTCAGCAATTGTACTCTTCTTTCATTCTAAGCATTTCTGTCAGCATATTTACCCTGTAACTACTCCAAAATAACACTTGATAGAAAACGCAAGTTTCTGTCTCTCGTGTTCTCCATCTACCTGCCTTTGGTTAGTTTATTTTTTTTCATAGTTTATTCACGAAATGGATTGGTATTAGTCTAGAACTCTAGATACAACAAAAAATCATTCTATTAGATCAAACAAGTCTTAGAACTAGGTGCTCTTTAAGTAAACCTCAGTCCCAAACAAGTTGGAATCGAGTATATGAATAGTTATTGACAATATTTCTCCATTAGAGAATACTTCCAAGTGGTGCAAGAATGATAAATTACAGAAGGAAAAGTGTTGAATTTTCTGCTCCATAAATTCTGGGAAGTTTCCCTAACATAGGACCGGACTAAACAATGAGTTAAATGTACGTGTAGCTAAAGTCAGCCCAAGAAAATAAGAAAGCAAAAGCCACTTTGCTGCACCATGTCAACAAGGAAATTAAGGCCTATAATTGTACAACTCAAGCAATTTCAAACGGCTATGAAAATGATAGCATTTGACTTGCCCCATTAACATAGCCATTACTATATCGATGCATATTACTGTAAGACTCAAGCAATTTCAAACGGCTATGAAAATGATAGTGTTTGACTTGCCCAATTAACATAGCCATTACTATATCGATGCATATTACTGTAAGATTGGGCACCGGACCAAGTTGTACCGGTACCATTCCGATCCGATAGTATTCGGGACAGAATGAGATACATTGAATCGGTACACGAAACGAAACGGTATCATGATTTGGTACCGGTATCATTCAGCCCGATTCCAATAAATCATTTATAATTAAAATTAAAAATAGTATTTGTGTCATTGTTTTATACTTCTATTAGTATTTTTTTTGTTTATTTAATTTTTTAAAATTACAAACTTAAGTTATTTAAATTACAAGTTATAAGTATAACTTAATAACTTATAAACTTCGAAAGATTCAAATCTTGAAAACTTATAACATAAGCTCAAAAACTTTTTTAAAAAAAACTTTATTAAACTTAACTTACAAACTTATATAAGTAAAAAAAAATTTAAAATATCTTTAAAATAAACTTAAGTAAAATTACATTTTAAATTTTCAAAGTTAAATACTATAAACTATTAAACTTAGAAAAATAAAAAAATATTCCTATTTTCATAATTCAAAATAACTCAAAAAAATAAAAAATAAATTGAAATAGCTATATGTGCCGTCCAATTTATCCCATCCCGTTCCATTAGGTCCATTCCGGTCCATCGCGATTCTATCCCGATATATAATGGGACAGGATGAAACCGAGTCTCCATCCCAATAATTGCAGTCATGTTCATCCCAATACCAATCAACAACCCGATCAAATTGTTCGTTCCGGTCCAATACCAATTCATACCGATCCGGTGCCCAACCTTACATATTAATTGTGAATTTAGAAAACTGAGACTTAACCATCACTAGAATGAAAAATGCAAATAAAACATATTGTTAATGAATAACACAATAATCATTAAATAACATAATATAAATTATACTAGTAGGTTAAATCCATTAAATAACATAATACTTTACAAAATTATAACAATAACTTAGTACTAGTAGGTTGATTACAAATCCATCATCCTCATCAAAATAGAGTTGTGTTGGAACATGGGACTGTTATGGTTGTGCTAGATGACATTGTTGACTTCTTTTAGCTACTATTCATTTTTGTTCTTGTCGAATGTATTCACGAACATTTGGTTCACTAATAGAATCTAAATTACATAATACTCCTAACATTCTATTTTCTTCTTTAACTTCCATTAATTTCAAAACTCTCATCTTTTCTCTCCATATCTAGTTGCCTCTCAGCAATTGACTTTGCCAACAACTCAAGAAGCCGTTTTCGTTCAGATAGAAGTTTCCTCATAACAGATAAAAAACCTTCATTGATTTTTCTCTTCGCTTTAGGTTTTTTCATCCCAATAGATCGTTCCGATGATGACATGGCATCACCTACAATATCCTCAATTCGTGAAAATGAGATAAGTTAGGAGAGGAAACATGATGGATATGCCCTCATAAGATGAAGTTAGTAACAGATAAACACATTGCTGCTTGCATTAAGTCAGAACAATATACTCATTAAGTACTTAATAATATAGATCAATATGCACCGAGGCAATTTAAGATCAGTGAGATGTACATTTGATCCAAAAATACAATTCCAAAATCTCCCACTGCTTAATCTCTAAACCAACTACTGGGATTTTAGTATTACCCAGAATTCGAACATTAGTCAAAACCTACCAAACTACATACTTCAATATTTTAATACTGACCACTTTTTTTACACTCCGGTGGATCCAAAGCCACCAGAGCCTCTCAGAGTTGAGTCGAGATCATCAACTTCCTCAACCTCTGGTGTGACAATTTTCTGAACAATAAGCTGAGCTATCCTATCACCAGCCTTGACTTCAAAATCAACTTCAGAGTGGTTGAACAACACTACCCCAACAGGCCCTCTATAATCAGCATCTATGACTCCAGCTCCAACATCTATAGAATACTTCCATGCCAAACCAGATCGAGGCGCTATAACCAAACGAAAAAACACCCCAAAAATATCAATCGTGAGCAATCATAGGGATGTGGTAGGAATGGAGATAAGTTGTGTTGAAAGGTAAAACTGACATAATCAATGGGGAATAACACTTGCTTTTCTTACCCTAAAGAATTTTCCCCAAAAAAATATTGTCCACCAAACATGAGGGAATTAAAAAATCACAGGGAACACACACTAAGAAAACTGGAAAAAATCTATCACGAATATTTTTAGATTTCAAAAAGTAAGAAAGAAATTACCAATACGAGCATAGGTTCCTTGAGGAACAGCGATGCTGAGATCTGTGGGTACTAGAGCCTTGCCTCTGGCGGGAACTTTAGTCTCTGCAGCACTGTACACCAAGAAAACAAACAATTTAGAAAAAACATTTCGAACTACCACATGGATTTAACGAAAAAAAACTTAGTGAAAGTCTGAGAGCAAACCTGGATAGATCGTAACCAGCAGAAAGAGAAGAGGCTCTTGAGGGCAAAACAGCGTTTTCAGAGAGCTTCTTCACTCGGAAAAAGGGGATTTCAGGGACATTGCCATTTTCGGGGTGGTCCAGTTTCTGAATCTTGGGAGAAGGTTCTGTGATCTCAGGAGAGTTGATTTGATTTTCTGCCATTTTTGGAAGAAGGAATATTGAAGACAAGTTTCTGAGAATGTTAGGGTTTGTAGAGTGAGTGGGAGGTTTATGTAGAGGAATTTTCACTATCAAAAATGAAATGGCGCCAAAAATTCCCGCCTTGTTCTCTATTGGGAAATGGGATATGGAAAATTCTCATTCGTTCGGAGGTTGCATTAAACTCTATTAAATTGCTAAGTACTACTTACTTCTATGTCTCTAATTACTTGTCCTTAATTTGACATATAAAAAAAAGACAATTTTTTTTACCTATTATACCCTCAATCAATTACTTTGAAAAAGATAAAATTTCTTGAAAATCTCAATTTTTTAATTCATCCACTTCATAATTAATAGAGGTAAAATGATAAACTCACTATGTCAATCATTATTTTCTTAATAGGTGTGACAATTCGAAAGTAGACAAGTAATTAGGGACAGAGGAAATATTTAATTTGACATGAAATTAAAGAAGATTTTGTAGTGTAAAACTAAAAAAACGTCAAATATATTAAAATATCTTTGAATATTATTGTTTGAATATGTCATGTCAAAAAATAAAAGGTATTAAAAAAGAAGAAGAAAATGATCATTCTTTTAAAAAGCAGATCAAACAAATTAAAACAGAAAAAGTAATAAGTTATGCTCAAGTCACTTATTATATAGAGTGTAACATAAATTGTAAATAGAAGATTTGAACAGCAATTAACACACATATATATACTAGTACTATATATTATTTTCAGGAAACACAAGGATATATTTGGATGGACAAAGTCAGGTAGTTCCTAAAAGAATAAGGTTGGTTTCTAAAATACCCAGGGGAAGAAAATCGGTTTGGTATCTTGAAACACAAGAAATTTCAGTCCTAAAATGCATTCCAATATATATACATAATAAGAACATATGTACACGTTCTCAAACACAGAGCCTACATATCTACATATCACAACTTAATTTGTAGCTTAATGGAACACTTGAGGAGAAGTATAAAACTCGGTCTCCATAAACACCGGTCTCAAATCTTCCTCGCGCATGAACTCCAAGGGAAAAGTAACAAGATGTCCTTTGACTGACTTTAACTTCTCTTTCGTATTTACTACATCTACTTCCCCATCAACGTGAGATTCAAGTTTATCAGGAGCAACACCTAGATCAATAGTTGTGTGCCCAAGCTTATCTTTCCAATGGTTCATACATTGTCGAAGTTCAGACCTGCATTCCAGGATGACATTAGATAACATAAGCAACTGAGCATGATCAAAGACTTTGCACTACTAACTACTCTGCCCTCGCCTCCATAAATTAAAAGAGAAAAAGATGGTGGAAAGTCGATGTGGTAGTCACGTACCTTGAGTGAATAAGATCATTTGGGATGCAAGAGAATACATTTTGGTAAATCGTGGCATTTGACTGAAATATAAGAGATACAAAGAGTTATTGATTCTCTGAGATGAAAATCTAAGTGACCAGATTGTGCAGTTTGAACAAGATTTCAGGCATGGCTACTACATAGAAATGATATTTCTGTCAATGGGCATTACATAAAGGCAATTAAATAACTAAAACAAGCAGATAGAGTGATAATGGAACTGCTGTCATACCCGGAAGCTTTCTTTCTATGTTAGTGTATCCATGTATCATTACCAAAAGATAGGCATATGGCAGAATTATTTTGTGCTTCTTTCGAGAATTAGTATTATCATATTTTTGTATTGCTTTTCTTTAAAAGGCAATCAACTAAAGTAAGAACACCAGTCTCACCTCTGCAGTTGCCATCCATATATCTTTGTAAGTAGAGTCAGCCACGGGATCTTTGATTTGACAAGTCTGGAAAAGAAAGGATGGCCTTTAGTTGCTGTATTTAAAACATATGTATAAAAGTATTGCATGTCAAGACATGTGACATCCATGAGAGGAAATCTTATGCCATTGGAAGTTTGAAGCATCACTGACCTCTTCAGCACGTAAACCAAGGTGCTCTGCCCACAAAGAAACCCGAAGGCTAAAAGCAAACTTTCCAGCCTTCCAAGGTTTTCCGTCCATGGTTGAATCAATGAAATCTTTATCTTCAATGACTACACAAATCTGGAACAACCAATTTTCTGTCAGAAGTTCCTTTTTTGTAAATATTTTTTTTAATCTATTGTTTAAAAGTATCTACAGAACAAGATACGGCTTTTGGAGATGCGTAGCTGAAAGAATTCAATTGCAGATATCCAAGGTAGAAATTGAAATGTGAAGCCTCATGAAGTTTAAAAGCTAGAAAGTCATACATTTATCTTTCGACTGGGGACAGCTCTCATTCACAAGCAGCATGTGTGGTATAAGCAAGGTATACATGAACCAACTATATGAATCGACAGACAGAAATTCAAGGTGAAAATGGTATGAATCTACAGTTTCCTGTGGTAAATGAACCAATTCACTGACAAAAGCGAGATTTATCCAGATAAACGCTGGATGTGTTTCGTTTTCTAATTTTTGTGCAGTGTTTAGGGTTTTGCTTCTATAATATGTTTCCTTAAAAGAAGAAAAAAGTCTTACAGACTCTCAAGTGACAGTTCTAGCAATAAGACATTAGAATGTTTGCAAAACAGAAGTCCACAATGGTTCTAATATTTATTTGTATTACCATGTGAACGTAGATGAGCTATTCCCAGGAAGTAATGGCTGTTTCTCTTCTTCTCCGAAGAGAAATAGACTTTCTTATAGGGAGTAAGATTTCATGTTCTTCACATGCTAATGGCCTAGAACAGATTTACCTCAGAGTCGCGAGATCCAAGCAAACTTCTGTCATTTACATTAGATGATCCAACCATGGCTATACGGTCATCCACTATCATCACTTTACTGTGTACATAGACCTGTGTTAAAATTGGAGAACTTTTAGGGCAATAAAACACCAAATTTTCGAACAATCAAAATCAAGTAAGCTTGCATAGATACAGGTTGCATGTTAGAGAAAGAAGAGCAAACATTGACAGAAAATGATAAACATTACATACTAAACAGTAGAATGAGTTAACCCTTCAGGCTTGGTTAAAGAATTTTCATTTTCAAACTTCCGCCTAGTATATACATCAATTTTCTTGGAGGCTAAAGTTGATCATACAAATATTAGATTGACTGGTTCTTAGCAATTCAAAGACAGTCCATGCCAATGTATGGACCTATCTTACTATATAAGTGAGTTTCAGTTAATTGATTTGTACTGTTAGATCTTCAAGAAATTACCTGACTCGTGAACATAGGGCCAACATCAGAAAGCTGGCCATACGTCCTGAGACCATAAAAAGATATGTAATCACAAGTTTTTGGACCCAATAGAGCATTAAGATTGTGCAGTATTGAAGTGTTGCCCTTGCTAATAGTCCGATATTGCCAGTGCATTAAGGCTCTCACAGTTGCTGCCCCAATGTCATCCAGGCCTCCCTGTAATTTTGAAGCTAAATATGAAACATGAAAACTCAAAAACCAACTTACAGTCTCCAACGTGAAGAGAAGATGCCTACCTGAAAACCAGGTAATAGTGGGATGACTATTATAACCCTGAAACACTTATTTTCTTTGTGTGCTCGCCTTATACGTCTGTATATAGCATCAGCTACACGATTGTGTATAATTTCATCTCCAGCAAGACCCGAGATGAAAAATTGATTCTGAAAGTTTTGCAAATAAAAGCATGAGTTTTCATTTGATAAGTGAGCTTCTTTACTATATTTTTGCTCATAACCATCATAAAACAAATCAGAAACAGAAAACATTCAGAGATTCAGAACAAGAAGAGTACACTTGTAACTGGACATTAACAACAATAAACCCACTGAGCCACTGGTGGAAGTCAACTTAAGGTTGACAAGATGGATATTAGCATTCCATAGTGTAGAGATTGGATCAGAAGATAGCACTTACTAAACTCCATATAGCTGAAAATAATGTGTGTTTTCCAGTATTACCTCAAAGCAGAAAAGCTTTGACAATCAGTATCGTCTTTGTGGTTAATCAGTGCATAACTCAATGAACACAAAGCTCTGACAATCAATTGTAATTAGTGCATACCTCAATGAACACAAAATGTTCTGCTTCCTCAATAAGAGAACAATAAGCTTTGTGAATGCTGTCTTCAGTTTGAGTTGTTCCAGCAGACCACTGGCTGACACTTCTAATGACCTATGACAAGTTAACCATAAGAAATGTCAATGGCAGTAGAGAATTAACTGAAACATATGCGAAACTGAGTAAACAAGAAAATGAATTAAATTTCAGGTCATCTAGGAAGTAGTTTAAAGGAATATTATGAACCTAAACATTATCAGCAGAAAGTAAAAAATATTTAAAGTAATGTTTGACTAAGTGGCTGCAACTAATCCCTACCTTCATTTGTTCAATATCTTTATCCTCTAATGGTGCACCCAAAGGGGGAGGGAGTCCAGCCGATACTTTCTCCGCCAGACTTATATTTAGAATTTCTTCAAGTTGTCTACTTTCAAGGTTCTAATACTAGCTCAAATTAACCTTAATTTTCTCCTTGTTTTTATCCTTGAGCAATAAGGACTAGATACTAAACAATGTCAATAATCATTATACCTTTATAAGCAGAATGTAAAAACTACCCAATACACCACCAAATGACATCCTCATTGTACTATATAATGTTAAGCTAACCTGACAGTGACAACGGGTTCGAGGACCAACATCTTCTATTTTATCAGTTGAAACCACTTCTGCTACTCGCTCTTGTGTCTCCCACCAATTATCTAGTTGATGAGTTTTCATTTGGCTTTGGAGATCTAGGTGATGAAGATCATCTGAAAATATATCTTCAGACCTAATGACAAAGTGTTAACTAAAAATAAATCAAACTTAAGTAATAGACTAGAGACCAAACCAGTCAACTTCTCGTCAGCACAGGAAACCTCATCACAATCAGCTTCCTGGGGTAAAAGTAACGGGATATCTTCCGGTGGTGACCCAGACGGAAATGGATCTTGTCCATTCAGATCTTTCGAGTGCAGCTCAGCTGTCTTACTTTCGATCTCAATTTCTCTGCTTCTGCCCATGTAGTGTGGAAGAACCATATGATGCTGTGGCATAAGCAGTGGTATAGTCTGTTCATTTGGAGCTATGCTTCTCTGCATCAATGGTCAGAAAAATTAGCAACTTGAAATTTCGTCAAGAAGTACACTGAGGAGTAGAAAAGAACCTTAGCATGATTCCAGCGTTGAACGAAGTGTCTGGCAACATCTCGGCAAGGTGGTCCCCAAAGAGCACAGTGGACATCATGCCATGGCATTCGGGGATATTTCTCCCGCTCTAGTTCATCTTTCATGGCATCTTCCCAAGAATTTGGCTCGGACTCTCTGGATAATAATGACAATTTAGATAATTAAATATTACATTTGCTGCATATGGGTTTGAGTGACCTCTACAACCAGTCAACTTAAGAGAATGCTCTAATTCTTTTCATTCTCCATCTACAAAATTGATATCAACTTGAATCATCTCAAGCTAAATTAGATATTCGATTGCAATAAGTTGGACAAATATGAGTCTAATAGAACACCCACCAAACAAGAAACTTTTATTGAATCAAACTAAATAATCTAATGGAGGCCTAGAACATTGCTCTTACATGGTACTCTAACATTTGAGACAACTATTAATGATACTATTAATATGAGTTTCACTAGTTTCAAGAATAGAAATTCATTTAATCAATCAAATTTAAATTTTAATAAGATGCCCTCTCTCTCTCTCTCTCTCCGTCCCTCCCTCCCTCTCTCTCTCTCTCTCTCTCTCTCTCTCTCTCTCTCTCTCTCTCTCTCTCTCTCTCTCTCTCTCTCTCTCTCTCTCTCTCTCTCTCTCTCTCTCTCTCTCTCTCTCTCTCTCTCTCTCTCTCTCTCTCTCTCTCTCTCTCTCTCTCTCTCTCTCTCTCTCTCTCTCTCTCTCTCTCTCTCTCTCTCTCTCTCTCTCTCTCTCTCTCTCTCTCTCTCTCTCTCTCTCTCTCTCTCTCTCTCTCTCTCTCTCTCTCTCTCTCTCTCTCTCTCTCTCTCTCTCTCTCTCTCTCTCTCTCTCTCTCTCTCTCTCTCTCTCTCTCTCTCTCTCTCTCTCTCTCTCTCTCTCTCTCTCTCTCTCTCTCTCTCTCTCTCTCTCTCTCTCTCTCTCTCTCTCTCTCTCTCTCTCTCTCTCTCTCTCTCTCTTTCTCTCTCTCTCTCTCTCTCTCACTGTGTAAGTTAAGGAAAATTGAAGACAAAATGAAGGAAAGTTGTTTGCTTCTTTTCTTTTAGTTTGACATACAAGAGGAAATTAATAGAAAATTTAACCTCCTCCTTCCACATTAAACTACGCGAATACTAGATAAGTAACATGCAAACCAAAGAAGGGAGACAAATTGTGTAACTTTCCATTAGTTTCCCTTCTTTTGCCTCAAATTGTCACATTTCTGGGACAAAGCAGAAAAATAGATAACTAAATTTGATTTAAATCCGTCGGCACAATTTCAACATGGAGAGCAATAGCTCTTTCAACTATGTTACTTATGGTGGAATCTTTTCAAAATCTACATATTCCATTTCTAACTTCAACAGGTTACAAATATATTTATTTCATCATCTGAATGCTAATGAAGACCTATTCTCAAACACATACTAACTAAAGGAGTTCGAAAAGAACTCCTGTTAAGAAATATAATGGCGCCCATATCTATTTGCTTTAAGTTATAAATACAAACTTGACAAAGGAAATTTCAAGTTCATGAGTAGGTCACATACATATCATAGCTAGCTTACCTTGGGTTATAGTAGTCCTTCCCAGGCCAAATAAAAGGAGGCTGATCAGCCAACTTGTGTTCTCTTGTGTCATACCGGCCAAAACATAAATCTAAACCTCCAATGTAACAAATCTTGTTGTCCACAATGACAAGCTTTTCATGGTGCGACCTGCATGTAGAAACCACGTTTTAGTTTTAATAAGCTTATAAAATAGAAGGAATTAATATACATAGAGTGTAGATACAGATGGGAAATCTATTCTAAATCATGACTACATCAGAGTCTATGCTGTATTAAATTCTTAACTGCATACCACAAGTAGATCCCTGCGGAGAAATGGTTCGGATATCGCAGGACTTTAACATTTTTGTGAATTTTCAGAAGCCTTCTTTTGCTGTATAAACTGTTAATCTTTAAAGCAATAGAAACCTCCTTGTAGAGAAGAACATAAATCTGCATCAACATATATTTTTAGAAGTTAGACTGGATCTTAAAAATCACAATGGAAGAATTGTATAGAAAACAGTTCTTTATAGAAAACACTTCTTTTTGTATCCTTGATTCCTTTCTAACTTTAAAAAGTCTTGTAGTGAACAATGAAAAAAGAACAATGAGATGTAAGCATGATCCCTTCTCTTACAGAATAAATTTTTTTTAAGATAAGGATACCAAGATCCAATATGAATAACGAAGTGGTATTATCAAGCGAACCATGGTCAACCATTTAATGCACCTATTACCATCTACATTTTCTATGGCCAAATAACACATACATTACTCATTTGTTTTTTGAATGTAGAATCTAATAACAGATACTTTCTTTAAATAAAGATCGATAAACAAATAAAGTACACAGACATTTGTACATAACTACTTGATATACCATCTAATCAAAATTCAGCAAATGCTCAGGCATATTCGTTTTCACTTCAGAAAGCAAGTAAAGCACTAGAAATTCTTAGTATGAGCAGAATGCACATCAAAATTGCTGGATACACTTAGTTACATGTAAACACTCTAGTTTCATTGTGTCTCTGTTAAACACAATGTGTCTAGATGCAAGACAAATGCCTAGTTCCTAATCTTTATCACAAGTGACTTGAGTAAATGTCTTTCAACAAATGTGAGACTTATTACTGTTGGCAGGCATTAAAGCATAAGAATAATTATACATGCAAATTATAATCTTTTTTTTTTGAGGTAAAGGTTGTTAAGAAGTCCCACATCGTATAGACTTGGACAAACCTCCCCTCATGAGATAGCTTTTGGGGTTGAGTTAGGCTCAGGTGCCATATCTTTACATGGTATCAGTGTCAGGCCCATCCCAATTTGTTGTTCACCGATGTTGGGCCCCCATTTTAGAAGTGTTCACGCTCCAGTTGAGGTTTGGGCGTGCGGGGGAGTGTTAAGAAGACCCACATCGGTAGAGGGATGGGAATTTGGTCTCCTTATATGGACTTGGACAAACCTCCCCTCATGAGCTAGCTTTTGGGGTTGAGTTAGGCTCAGGTGCCATATCTTTACATGGTATCAGTGTCAGGCCCATCCCAATTTGTTGTTCACCGATGTTGGGCCCCCATTTTAGAAGTGTTCACGCTCCAGTTGAGGTTTGGGCGTGCGGGGGAGTGTTAAGAAGACCCACATCGGTAGAGGGATGGGAATTTGGTCTCCTTATATGGACTTGGACAAACCTCCCCTCATGAGCTAGCTTTTGGGGTTGAGTTAGGCTCAGGTGCCATATCTTTACATGGTATCAGTGTCAGGCCCATCCCAATTTGTTGTTCACCGATGTTGGGCCCCCATTTTAGAAGTGTTCACGCTCCAGTTGAGGTTTGGGCGTGCGGGGAGTGTTAAGAAGACCCACATCGGTAGAGGGATGGGAATTTGGTCTCCTAATATGGACTTGGACAAACCTCCCCTCATGAGCTAGCTTTTGGGGTTGAGTTAGGTTCAGGTGTCATATCTTTACAAAGGTAACTAATTTACTCAATTATTTACAAAGTTAAACATGTTAGGTAGAGATCAGTTGCATATGCACCTGGACCCCTTCTTTAGCTTTAGTCTCAAGTAATGCATCAAGTCTAGAGGAGCTATGGCTGTGAAATGGACGTCTCAAGTACAGCTCTGGGCAAAGCCACCATCCTGTTATATAGATCTGCATAAGATTAAATTAGGTGGAACTATCTGCAGTAAGAAAATTTATGATTGTGATGTAAAAAGTTGGTAGATCAACCTCAGATTTTGCACTCTCTATTGAAGAAGCAATTGCCTCAAATGCTGCTTTCCCATCTACAAACCACTGAGCTTGAGTGGCATCATCAGTTGTCCCCCTCAATGGAGCAAAAGAACCAAAGCGGTGAGGGTTACACCAACCTTCTGGAGGTTTAAGAACAGCATCATTAATTGCACATATCCAATCATCGACTTTGGCGTGGCTCGTGGTTCTAATCCTTATGCTACGGTTCCCACAACAAACCTTTCAGCCATTACAACTGTCAGTTTTATGCAAAAGCAAGCAAAACAAGATGCACTCTTTGAGAAGTAAATCCAGCAATAATGAGATAACTTACTAAATAAAGAAAAAAGAGGTTAGTTATATTTGCGACATACAACTCCATATCATGTCACACTGAACAACTATTTGATTAAGGGGGGAAGAAACAGAAAATGGATTTCCCGAAAGACTGCAATATTACGTTGAGGAAAAAAGTGACTTCCCCACATATCTTGGTTGACCAAGAAGTTGCTGGATAGTTAAAAAGAAAATTCATTAGTTTGGCTAAATTATTTGGTCAGTTTCTACTTTTTCCTGAATTAAACTTCCTAAGATTAGTAGAATCTATCAACGCTACTTGAATGGTGAATATATGGGAAAAAGAAGTAAACAGTGTAAACTGAAACAAGCTCAATCATTACTTAATGTTATAGGGCAGACATGATTGGTTTAGGTTAAATCATCTCCTCCATTCCAGCAGCTAAAATAATTTACAAGCCATCATACAGGTTTAAGAATAGAACATCTAATTGATTAACCTAAACTACTACTTCAGTATGTGCACAAAATCTCTTGTTTGTACCCAGTCTTGCTTTCAAAACAAGATAATTTCAGGTTCAGGCACATTCAGGTGAGTGTGCATGATAAGCAACTAAAATACACAATTTTATTTGACATATATATCTTGAGTAATAAAATTAGCACTCTGTAGTAGTAGAGCACTAACAAAATGAACATGTAACCAAGAAATAAGAAATCACAATGGTCAAAAATTGAGTTCAAGTTCCAGCAATGCTAAAACACCATAAAAGAATTTTCTGTAGTGTTTGACTGGAAGCAGACCTTAAATGCATATTGCAAAGGATTTCTTTCTCTTATTTCCTTTGCTAAGTATACCGCATTCTCTCCCTTCCCATTAGAAGTTGGAAGCACATCGAAAACAATTATGTCCAGTAGTTTTGCATCAAAAGGATTGTTTAGTAAGGCCAAGTAACCGGGTTTTAGAACAGCCCAAACCTGCACGACATAGTATAAGTAGTTAAGACAAGGAAGACAAAAACATTTAATAGGGTCAACCATTGTGGAGGACAGGTCATATTCAGACTGTTAGCATGATGGAAAACTAAATGATTGTATATATTAATGTAACTATATAGTGATATAAATTAGCATGATCATGTACATTTGTTGTAGAATCAAAGAAATAAATATTGTGATAGAATAGTTGATTTGAAGGGATAGCAAGGCAGATTTAGAGGGATTGAATAGCAGATTTGTAGAGATAGAATAGCTGATCTTTAGAGATAGAATGACGGATCTTTAGGGATGTGTAATCTTTATTTTCTCTATATAATGGAAAGACTCTCACTTTGAGAGGCATTCAGCAGAAAATTGACATGGTATTAGAGCCTTCTCTTGGTTGTCTTGTTTCATAGAGTCATCAGTGGTTCCTTCTAAGTTTTTTTTTGAAAATCTTGGTTTTTGGTTGACTGTTCATCGACAATCAGTCCTACCACTTGGGAATTTTGTTCTTGGTCATTCTAGTTGCTTTCTTGAGTCTTTGTAGTTTTCATAGCTATTCAAAAACATGAATTCACATCACTTTGAATCCTTCCGTGTTCGTTTCACTGGAAAAAAATATTCTTCTTGGGAGTTTCAGTTTCAGTTATTTGTT